GCTGAGTCAAGTGTTGATGAAGTTGATTTAACACTATAAAACAAAGCTAAGTCAAGTGTTGATGGAGTTGATTTAACACTATAAAACAAAGCTAAGTCAAGTGTTGATGGAGTTGATTTAACACTATAAAACAAAGCTAAGTCAGGTGTTGATGGAGTTGATTTAGCACTTGAACAAAATTCTCTCAGAGTTCCTTCACCCTCCTAGAACACTGTGCTTTATTTACGAAAACAATTTAGCACCAGTGTAAATTCCGATGTGCTGATGGTCCCCAGAGTGCTACTTACAGCTCCAGTAGCTGTTGCATCTGCTGAGAGAGTTATTCAAACTTGAAATTAATTAAAACTTAAGTGAAATCGTTCATGACCCATGAGCACTTCACATTGGTAACCAAATTAATTAAAACCTATATGAGATCGTTTGTAACCCATGAGCACTTCACATTGGTAACCAAATTAATTAAAACTTAAGTGAGATCGTTCGTGACCCAGGATCACTTCACAGTGACAACCAAATTAATTATAACCAATATGAGATCGTTTGTAACCCATGAGCACTTCACATTGGTAATACAAATTAATTAAAACTTAAGTGAGATCGTTCGTGACCCATGAGCACTTCACATTGGTAACCAAATTAATTAAAACTTAAGTGAGATCGTTCATGTCCCAGGATCCCTTCACAGTGACAACCAAATTAATTAAAACCTATGTGAGATCGTTTATGACCCAGGAGCACTTCATGGTGAGAACCAAATTAATTATAACCTAAGTGATATGGTTTATGACCCAGGAGCACTTCATGATGATAATCAAATTAATTATAACCTGAGTGATGTGGTTTATGACCCAGGAGCACTTCATGGTGATAATCAAATTAATTAAAACCTATATGAGATCGTTCGTAATCCATGAGCACTTCACATTGGTAACCAAATTAATTAAAACTTAAGTGAGATCGTTCGTGACCCATGAGCACTTCCCAGTGATAACCAAATTAACTAAAAGTTAAGTGGGATTGTTCATGACCCAGGAGCACTGCACTCTCTATCGAAAGATGAAGGTAAAGTGTCTGTTTGTTATTAAGCACAAAGCCACCCAATGAGTTATCTGTGCAGTGCCCGCCATGGATATTAAAAAATAGTAAACCCGATTTTCAGTGCTATAAGCCTTCAGACTCACTAATGAGGTATTTCTAGAAAGGTGCCACAGAGTTTGTAACAATAACAATTAGAAGGGAGATTGTCAGACTTTAATAACTATATTAATGGAATGCAAGTAATTAATTCTATATTTATAAGTGTGTAAAACTAAACTTCCAGATTTTACACCAAATCTGTAGTCTGAAAGTGACCAACAATTGAATACCTCAGGAAGGCCTAAAATTGTGTTGAGACGACCTAACATTATTGTGAGATTAAAAAAGTATCGTTAAAATTAAACATTGGACCACTTATTAGTTGTATTGCCTTTTACAGCACAATGACCCTTTAAGAAATACCACTGAGATGTTCTGATTGTACTTTATTCAGTGCAGGAAACTTATAACAATATAGGTTTTAAGGATTTTTTCACTTTTGATTTACTTTAAAATAAAATGTGTTTGTTTTTTGCTGTCATCACCTAAATTATAAATTTCGTCACGAAAGAAGTATGAAGCCCAGTTTTTCAATCGATTCACCCCTTGTCTCTTTAGTTAAAAAAGGTTTTGTGGAATTCCACCTCTCGGCGGTAGCCGTGGAGAAAGACTGGATGACAATTTAGAAAGGGTGTTTTCTTTGCTTCCTTCAGAAGTTTTGCTACACGAGGACTACCTGCATATAGTTGTCACTGATATTGAACTGGGAAAATAGAGAGAAGTCAACAACACCGTCTCCAACTCTTGGGCTACTCTTGTCTGACCTAACAGTAAGATTTGACTGTCCCCCTTATAAAGCAGCAATAGCACCAAAGTGTGGGGTGCAATTGTTTGTTTGTTGTTGTTGTTAAGGTAACTAGAAGCAAGTCACCATTCAACATGTTAACTACCGAGCCATGCTTGGACCTTCAAAAAGCAGACTCAACTTTACATTTCCTTCTTGCCAACATTTAGAATTTTGACAATGAGAAAAAAAAATTATCAAGATATCTCGTATATTTATCAGCTGAAGCTTCTTCTTTGATTTTACAAATAACATTTAGAAAACTTGTCCTAACTTAGTTCAATAAAAAAACCACCATATCTCTGGCGGCAAATTTAAGAACTATGACGTAATGGCCACCTGTCATGGCGGCCTAGCAACGCGTCCCTAACGACACGACCTCTGGTGGCAATGTGTGGAACTATGACGTCATCGTCTTCAATGACATCTCCCTGAGGCCGGCGCACGTGGTGCGCCCTCTGACGGGTGCGTCTGAAGTGACGGGATAACTACTGACGGCTAGCACAGAAAGGTCTCGGCTAACTTTGCGCGGCCCTCCAGTGGCACAGCGGTATGTCTGCGGACTTACAACGCTAGAAACCGGGTTTCGATACCCGTGGTGGGCAGAGCACAGATAGCCCTTGTGTAGCTTTGTGCATAATTAAAAACAAAAACAAAACAAACTTTGCGCAAAATTCAAACAGCTCGTGAAAACAATTAAAGTGGTCTTTGTGTACAGCAATCTATTTCAAAATTGAATGTTTGATTACTATGTCGAAATCCGACATATGGCGCAAATATTCAAAAAACAACTAATGTTCTTAACGCTCATTGTTCACTTTATAAAACCAATTCTATTCAATTCTGGGACATGAAATGAGTTCTTGTTTTACAGCTCGTGCCATGGTCACCTTTGGAGTTATATCATCAACCCGGCTATAAATATAAACACTGATTGCATCGTTTATACAGTTACGACAGCAAAAGCTGAAGAAGCCTAGAAGCTAAATAAAACTTTGTAATAAGAGTAAAGTAAATACAAGAAATGAAACTCGGTTCAACAAAATTCCACTTACTTGTGACTACAGTATATGCTTTCGTATGAGCATTTCGCTAGAATATCATAAACATGTGTACTGATTTCCATTCGTTGCTTCTCGGTCAGTGAGAGATAAGCATCTGCCATGTTAACAATGTCCTCTTTATTCTGGACTGTTGTATTGTAGTCGTTATTTAGGGGACACGTAGCGAACAAGGAGCGGGGCTGGCAAAAATGGACAAAACAACCACATAAATAAACTATAATAATGTTCCCTATTTATTAATTTATGCCAGTATACTGATAAAGAATCCTAAAAAAATAAATAAACTTGTTTTAAGCCTTTAGACGTAATTATATGTTTCTAATCTCTTTAATTCAATAATCGTAACCTAAAAATATAAGGCTTACCGACAACAATCCTTGAAGATCTGATTTCGTGTAGTACAAGTTGTCCAAGTCAAAATTATCCACAAGGGTATCACAGATTTTCGATAGTGCCTTGTCTTCTCCATCAATATTGGACAAGCACAGTTGTTCAAGTCCTTTTTTTTTTATTCTAGTCCAAAAACAGGAACAATCTATGTATGGCATCTATTCATACATATATATACATATGGAAATAACTTATGATCAGAAATGGAAATAAACTCGAAGTAAAATATTGTGTTATACGCTATAAACCGGATTTCGATACCCGTGGAGGGCACAGCGGTGACAGACAATTGTGTAGCTTTGCGCTTAACAGCAAACAAGGCCTTTCAAGTTTCTTTACCCATCTCATCACAGTTTCACATTTTAGTATTTTCAAACTTTGGGGCTTTTAACGGTAAAATTCGGTGTTCGATCCCGGTGATGGGTATACTCGTGGTTAATAAGAATCAATTCTTACAATGTTTTTAGACAATCTGTATTGTTTTATCGAGTTATCGTCATTCCGAATCGAAGTAAAACCGACATCTTCTAAATGATAAGCAGGTTAATTCAATAATGTGATAATTAATGATAACTCATGTGTTGTGACACAACTAAGACTAATAAGCGTAACAGTTGTTGTTAAGGCAATTTCATGATATAAATAACGTCTCAACCACTATTATATCTGTTGTTTCCCAGCCAGCCTCAAGAGCCGTGGTATTGGACGAAAAGTCTTGTCGGCATTGGGTGTAGTTTAGTTTAGAGACTTACTGATGAGCACCTTGTATAGTATGGGTATAGTATAGTATGGATATAGTATAGTATGGGTATAAAATAGTATGGATATAGTATAGTATGGATATAGTATAGTATGGATATAGTATAGTATGGTATAAAATAGTATGGATATAGTATAGTATGGATATAGTATAGTATGGGTATAAAATAGTATGGATATAGTATAGTATGGGTATAGTATAGTATGGATATAAAATAGTATGGATATAGTATAGTATGGATATAGTATAGTATGGGTATAAAATAGTATGGATATAGTATAGTATGAGTATAAAATAGTATTGATATAGTATAGTATGGAAATAGTATAGTATGGGTATAAAATAGTATTGATATAAAATAGTATGGATATAGTATAGTATGGATATAGTATAGTATGGGTATAAAATAGTATGGATATAGTATAGTATGGGTATAGTATAGTATGGATATAGTATAGTATGGATATAGTAT